AAAGTGAGATATAAAATGAATTAGATGATACCACCTCGTATAACCTGGCTCTTCCCCCGACTGAAGAAATGAAATTTGTGAAATTTCCACTTTCTCGTTCCTTCGCGCGTTGTTAATTAAATCGCGTATTATTAATTTGAATATATATACGCACACGCTATCTCATTTAATCTATATTCGGTTATCTCGACGCTTGCGTAAATTATGCTTGCAATCGGGCAGTCGCGCGATTTTTATCGATTCCAAAGGTGGTTGCTGTGGCGAGTGGTTGCGCTCGTCGTTGCCGGTGATGCATTGCGTTGGTGAAAGTGGCGCGTTAGGGCAGCATTGGCAGCAACCGCGTCGGGTCGAGAGAGACTTGGATTTTTCGAGCCTTGGATGAATACATGAATGAACGCGCATACGCACGTCACGCGACATGTACCGTTGCTCAAGACTGGGTTCAAGACTGGGACTGAAGCTCGTTTCAAGGGTCCCAGAAGGTTATCAGCGAGAAATCGCTTTTTCACGAAGAAAGATCCCGAACGGTGAACACATTAACGATGAGAAAAGCGAGAAAACCGAATGGATGAAGACCGTTTCTTGAGAACTTGTGCCTCCACTCCAAAACGGAAACCGTGGATCGTCAGATTGTCAGGGTGTATACATATACGTAGTGATGCTGAAGCAAGAAGGAGCGAGAGAATTTAATATTTGTGAGGTCGATATAAAAAATATAATTTATATACACAACTGGGAAGTTTGTGTTAAAACTTGACAAATTTTACGTAATTTTCTTAAACCATTCAAATTTTTGTATTAATCCAACTACTTCATTTTTTATGATCGACGAATTAAGTGCAACGAATTCGCTTCATTCGGGATATCTCAAATTAAGTAGTTGAATTAATACAAAAATTTGAATGATTTAAGAAAATAACGTAAAATTTGTTAAGTTTTAACACAAATTTCCCAGTTGTGTGTATATAAATTATATTTTTTAGCTATTTTTTTCAACTATTATTTATACTCTACTCTAGAAAAGAGAAAAGTTCTTGCGACTGTAATTACGTGGTACCATATTTATAGTTGTAATACTAGTAACAATAATTATATACGGTTTTATCAATAAGTATATACAGGGTATACAAAAAATCCTGGACCCTTAAATATCTTAAAAAATAAGCATTTCTAAAAAAAATGTTTTAAGTTGCAGGACTTAAAGAAATTAAATGGTGACATTTATTTGAATTTTGGATGACCTTGAAAAGTCCCTCAAAGTTAACATAAAAATCTCCAATGGAAACTTTTATTTTTTTGTTATTCATTACATATTCTTGCAGCTGAAGTCGCGACACTAATAATAAAGTATTTTTATATATAAAGTACAAAGCTTGAAAGTTACGGTATTACTGGCATTATCGTTACTTATAAGGTACATCGCGTAGAGATATTGCCGATCATATTTATACATCGTGTGTGAGTGCGCGCGCGTAACTTTCAAGTGTTATAACTCATGGTATTGATTAGAAAAATTCTTTATTATAGTGTATAGTTGGCATTGAAAATGATTATAAATATATAGATTTCTTGATAAAATTAAACAAATCTAATTTTTTCATTACTAACGTTGTAACAATGGTAATATAATGATAGCATGATATGATATCATAAATTAATTAAGGTATACCATGTAATTATAGTTACAAGTATATCAAAAACTGTTCTCTTAATGTACAATCATATTTCTTAATTACTTTTCTAACGTAGACTAGCACGTTAGTTGCTAGTGAAAAATATTGTGTAAACTTCACTTCATGTTAATATGAGATTGACAATGAAAATCGATCTCACCGCGGATGATTTATTTCCATGGAACTTTCACTCGCCGTGAGATTCACTTTCTTCTCATGAGGACTCGCGAGTCCAGGATGATCCATCAAGAAGCGAACTCGAGTTGCGAATTGAGTTCTTATAATAAGAGTCTAAACATTGTTGTCCAGTGCATGTATAGATTCGAACTGGAAGTTTATAAGGCAGTCATAAGGCACGAAATATTCAAATGCTATTAAAATAGGTACAAATTAAAATATTTATTTATTTTTCTTAGGCTGCTAGTTCTCGGACCTACATATATTATTTATCCACACAGTCCGTATTTCGTTTTCTTTCGGAAAATTACACATTTTGAATCCTTATGTAGATAAATTTCCGCAAACTTCGTGTTAACTATACATCTAATGTAGTAGGTATGTCAAAAATTTATATAAATTCACAGGCATAAATTTCATTACGCATTTTTTATGTATTTTTTATGTATTTTTTGAAAGATGTTAATCGCTACGAAGCACAAACTTCTCTTTCAAAACCCTTCGTAAACTTTATAAATTGTATATAACTTGATAAATGCTTATTGTTACTCTGCTGATCACTTTTACATTATCCTAACCTGAAAAACTTTTGGTTTTTCAACCCAAACATGGCGGAGCCAATCAAAAGTCATTATTTAGACTTTTAATAGGGACTCTAGATAGGGTTGCAGATCTCATGCGTCTTTGCATTCTATACCATTATACTTTTATGCGAATTTACGCGGAACGCGCGGAGTTTAGAGCGAGCACGTTCTCGGAGAGACAAGGCCGTTTTTGCTCGGGGAATGTACATACATACATATGTAATGAAACGCGCCGAGTTTTTCCAATGCTCGTCGGGACGTGCTTGTGCACGCGATAATATAATTGCAACTATAATGTGTCCGCAACGCCATTACCGATGGTCGCATTAGCATGCACGCGGACGGGATAGGTTTGCCTTGAGATTATCTCCGTGACGTAGTTTGCGAGATGTCAAACACGTGCGGTATTCGCGGTGCGTCGCGTGTCTGTGCGTAGCGGCCATTACAAGATGAGTTCCGGATTTGTCGCCTCGCCACCACCTTCACTTGTTCTATCGGAAAAGCTGGGAGGGACATGGAAATCGTTGAAAGCCGCCAGCAGCGGAATTCTGTAACTCGTTATGCAATCGTTATACTGCGCATATTTTATATAGTAAAAAAGCTCCGCAACTGTCGTTATCAACACATAACGACTGCATAATTAGAGTTAGAGAATACAGGGGATGTAAAAATCATCCCAGATGTATCGAGGAAAAAAACAATGATTGTAATTACTGTAATTTAAATATGTATAATTTATAGTCATCTTCAGTACCAATTGCATATTTTTTGATATGATTATAAATATAATTATTATTATTGACATAATATAGGCATAATAACTAAAAAAATGGAGTTCCTAATTATAATTATTTTACCATGCAATTATAATCACAATTATCAAATTACTCTCCCGATCAGTATGATTATGTTCTGATTAAAAGGAAGGAACAACGTATTTTGTATCTTATATACATTGCTTCTTTTAAAATAGTTGGATCCTCTTCTGTTTATATACACGTAAAAAATTGTTTACACATATATTTGTCGGAAAAACCTAAAAAAGAAAAAACAATAAGACGTCGTTGTAATACCATCACTTATTTGAGGAAAAATTAGAAACTGCAGTTTATTATTACAACGATTTATTATTAAAAGAGAGAACGTTTTTTATCTCCATAGATTTTGAATTAATTTTTGACGAATTTAAGCAACTTTTATCGTATTGTATATTAATATTCAAGATTTTAATGGCTATTCTTATTGCGATATTTTCTGTTATTAGTTTGGGTATATTTTATCATTTATTAACATTGAGAACAACCCAAATTGAAACGTTTGTTCGATTTCTATATTTGAATTAAATGATTTATTAAATATTACCTGCACTCAACATCTAGCTTTGGCTCGTAGCGAGTATTTATTTTTAAAAGTGAACGAGTATTTAAAAATTTATATATATATTTTTTTTTCTCTCGTGTGCATTGAAATAAATTGGTAGCTTAATTCGTGCTTGTAATATCGTAATTTGTATTCGTCAGAATAGATTTATGAAATGTGTCGAGAACTCTCTCCCTCTCTCTCTCTCTCTCTCTCTCTCTCTCTCTCTCTCTCTTTCTCTCTCCCCCTCTCTGTGGTAAATTAATAAACAGCTGTAAGCCCCTTGAGATCGATACGTGAAATAAATATTACAGATAATGTTCATTTCACTGGACATCTGGGACACTCGTAGATCGAATTGTTATCGAAGGGCAATCAGAAAATTTCGGATATTTCGGATTTCGGCGCATGTCGTGAACGCGTTCTCGTACGAGAAATCTAATTTATTTCGACGTGCAGGGAGAAACTTATGTGATCTCTAGCTTCGCAGAATATATAATATTGAGATCGTCGGGAGGGGAGGGAGGCTTTTCGAGAAAACGACGTCTTTATTTAAATTTATTAAAGGTGAGTAAAGGGAGATGCTAAGTTGTGACGCTTACGTTATAATGAGGTCGAATGCGAAGGCAAGTTTTTACGATTGCAACGTAGGGGGAGAAAGAAACTCTGCACGATTCGGACTCGATCCCGATTCCCGCGCAGCGCAGCACAGCGGCCCACGTGACCCACTGACCTGGAAACCCTGGCATCTCGCGCTATCGGTTGATCCAATTTTCCCGCGTGTCGTTGACTCGTTCCTGCGTCAGGACGCGCCGTAGGGATGCGTTCATCCCTGGTAGTCATCGATTTCCAGGAATGGGAGCTGCGCCCCGGTGAGCCGCGCGCCGAATCGCGCGTTCTCGATTTTCCTGGCTCTCTAACATCTCACGTACGTCTTTTTCTCCTCCCCCCCCCTCTCTCTCTCTTTTGGCTCCGTAACTCGCCGTGACTTCCCCCGAGTGTGCACCACGTTCGTCGCGTCTAGGATTGTGAGGTCGCGGAAACTACGCGGGATCCTCCCGCTGGACCACCAGCAGCAGCAGCAGCAGCAGCAGCAGCAGCAGCTCGCAGTCGATACCGCTGCTGCGTCGAGGAAACGCGAAAACGAGGACGCGCGCGACGAGAGAGAGAACACAAGGGGAAGGATAAACTCGAACTCTCATAGTTGGAGAGTAATGAGAACCGTGCTCTGGATATTCGATATCGGGCCCTTTGATCAACCCTCTCCCGCGGTTCCGCGTTACTGATCTTCGCTCGACTCCGCGGACAACCGAATCCGAAGTAGAGTCATAAGTGGCTGTCGATGACTCGAATATTTATCAGACGCAAAATGAAGACGTTTACTCGTCCTTCGTTCGTTTCATCGTGAGAGCGAGTTTGCAGTGATATAAGACAGGGAGAAAGGATATTACACGAGTGTCGGAGCGTGGTAAGATAAATACGAAAGAGAGGATAAGCATGGAAGATAATAATAGGGTAATAGGATAATAAAAAGGGTAGAATATCGTGGATAGAAGAACGCAAGGTAGAGATGATCGTAATGCGTTTTTTTTATGAAATCATAGTGAAATAAAACTGACTCTCTCGGGTAGATTTAAGATTTGGAAACACAGAAAAGAAGCGGTGTAATAACATTACATCGTTGCGTTTAGAGTTTTGGAAAAAAAAAAAACAATTAAATGAAAGTAACAATTATACAAATTTTGATAATTATTTGCAGGACCTTTTCCGAATTTTTATTTTTTTTTTCTTGTTATCTTGATAAAAATCTTTATTGCGACTCAACAATGATGATCAACTAGGGAGGTCAAAAAATGTGTAACCTACCTATTTATTTACCAGTATAACTTTTTTGACTTTTAAAAGAGCCGATTTCACTCCTGAATATGACTGATACCTATAATAATTTGTTATGCCTATTTCACTGTGTCATTGAACTTATTTTATCGAGATTATTAAATCTTTACTAAATGGATGAATTTATACTATGTACTAATATGTACTAAAAATAATCGAAATTGAAAAGATTAGACGTACCCTAACGTAGAGTACTGAATTATCACACAAATTCTTAACTCTTTAAAACAAAAATTCTCTGTTTTAAAACACAAAAATCATATAAGAAAGTAGTTTGTGTTTTTCGAGAAGATAGAATTCCCAGAATTTTATTGTTTATCGTGTCAATTTCCGACATATTGTTGAAATAACGTGCGCGATAATTAAGCGATATCTTTATTGCCTGCAATTACGATCCTCAACAAGGTGAGATATCGAGGAGCACTTTGACCTGCGACGGAGTCACGTTCGTTATTGTGAAACAGTCAAGGACGTTTCCAGATTGCCGGAATCGTTTTAATTTACGTGTCAATGTCTACGAAGAAAATAACATCCTTGAGAGCGATTGGCAACAAGCTCCCTGCTCTAATTCGGACAATTCTCTTCGCTTTGTTTTCCGCCCACGCCACGCGACGACACGCTCGCCTACATTAATTAATGGCCAGGCGTTGGCCATTTATCTGTCACAAAATCACTTTCGTATCGAAGTACACTTCGAGTGCAAGCGCGACAATGTAATCGTAGACTTAACGCTCTTTTTTTGCACTTTAGTCGCGCTTTAACGCGAACTACAGTTGCAATTCGCACATTCTTGATTTTTTGTATTTTTCTTTTCCTTCTTTATTATACTTCAAAAATATGGTATTAATATAAAAATGTTTTTTATCTGTTGCCATGAATTTTTAATTAAATTGTGCGTTTATAAGGCGTTTTGGATTTGGCAGGCCACTTATTTCATAAATGTTCCTGAATCGATTTCAAGTTTGTTTTTCTCTACTTGAAAGAAAGACTTTCTCTTGTTGAGAGAAATCATTATTTAGTTGATTTGTTATATTAAAAAAAAAATTTATATAATCTATAATTATACAATGAAGTTATTCAAGATATTTAAGATATTTTTTCTATTTATAATTTGTACCTTTTATTTATAATAATTTGAAGTTTCGACTTCTTTAAAATTTAGCTCCTAAAAAACCTTAAATCGTGCATGTAATCAATGAACGTGATGATTTGTTACAGGTGCAGTTGAGAAATAATTACCGAAAATGAGTTGCATGTCGCAGTGCGCCAAGTACTTTCTCTGCTTCTTCAACTTTATTTTTTTTGTAAGTATACAAGTTTTCACTAATTCAGGAATCGAAACATACATTTCTTATGTTTGCGAACGTAATCGTAATTCAGCAGTATTAGTAATAATTCGGCGTTTATTTCCTCGCAAATCTTTACTTTGAAGTTATCGAAACATTTCTCACTCATTTTGTATGCGTTTAATTCAGTCAATTATACGCGTAGTATCAAAGAGTTAAGAGGATTAATCACCATCGAAGAAATAAACTTTCTCGGTGAGGTGTACAGTTGAATTACACGAAATCTTCTCATAAAATAATTCTCTCATAAAAATTGGCAAAATGTGTCGAAAGCTCCTTTAGTTATCTTTCATCAGTGAGTGCAGATATAATGTAATGTTCAATCCGCATGATGTTTATTTCTTAAAGCATCTTATGACAGTCGATATCAAGATTTTTACGTAGTGTATAATCCTTGAATCAGAAAGTGAACTACTCGGTACATTTCATGAATCCAATCTATCGAATACAAGTGACGAGTATATAAGAGAGAATTGACCTATTTTAGTTTATACTTATAGAAAATTCACGTTGCTTCTCGGACGTCACAATCTAAAGTGTATACGATTTTGCTCAAGTATATGAAAATTTAGGTAGACACAGAGCTGAAAATAATTGTGTTAAGCCATTAAAATTAAATTATGTATACAAAAATTCAAACATGATAAGCAATGTTGTAAAAAGTGTAAAGTTTTGATATTTTAGCAACCAGCTTGAACGTTCTATTACGCGTATCAAGGATTTCTTTGGGGGAAAGGAGGTTATCAGTTCTGTTATCACGTAAATAGTAATTTTTTGCGTTAATGAATTATTTTTTTTATTTTAAAACTTAGAAATGTCTCTCTCGTTCCTGATTTTGAATAGGAAAAGTATTAATATTAGGTTTTGTCACACACATAACTTTTAATCATAAATTTCGGAAAGGAGAAGGAGTTGGACCTCCTCCCTGGATACGCCCTATTTACACAATTATTTTAATGATCCAACAAAATTATTTTTATATCTGTATCCAACTACTAACTAATTTTTTCAATATTTCAACAAAATCGTTCTTTTCGCGTAGGGACTAAGAGCAATTTTAAATTAGAAAGCTGATCGAACACAAAACCTGCGAGAAAAGCGACATACGAAGTGAAATTTTTTGTGCAAAAATCGCAGGCAGGAATCGCCTGCCTGTCTCGAAACATGAGCGTTAAGGCTCTCTGTCTTCTTTGGTAGCCTTGAGGTTCTGCCACGAAGCAGAACGGAAACCTACACATTAAAACCTCATGTTTTTACAGATCGCCGGAGGAGCAGCATTGACTGTCGGTATCTGGCTTTTCGCTGACAGAACCTCCTTCACCAATCTCATCGCGAAACTCGATCAATCCGACTTGCTGGTAAGATGAAAACAGATTAATTATCGCAGACGTAGATCCGCATTATAGCGACGTTGCTGGATGGGAAAGGGTGGGAAGGGAAGGGGATCCAGGTTGTACGCACTTGTCCCCAGACATTTCTTCTATTTTATTTTTCGAGGAAGTCATTAATTGACATTGCGTGATCGTGGTGTACAAGTGGCGAATTGGCCGGGTACCAAATATCCAAAGAAACGAGCACTTTGTACGAACGCTGCAGAGAACGGCGTATCCATGTCGCGCATGGCGACGTGCAGCGAAGTTTGATAATTTTAACTTTCAAATCGATCTTAATTCCTACCTTCGCGAGTTCGAACAAAAGCAGGATAAGTACTTTCGATACTTTAAACGTGCTGGACAATTCCCGGCGAAAATACCGGTTTGCAAACGAGTTCCGCTGTGTTAAAATCCTGCTGCAGAGCCCACGAACGTTTCCCACTGCTTTGTTAAATGCGCGACGATTCTCGTTATCGAATTTTGACAAATTTTAAACTCTGGAGATATTTATTATTTAACTCGACATCTATCTCTTGAATCTCGTCGCGTCGTATTGACAGTTTTATGATGAAATATTGTCTTCGCGTGAAAGCGATTGACTTTTATTGGGTCCCTCAGGATCTCAGCTTGTTCCCATATTGAATTTCATTTAAGGTTGCCACATCAACATTTTCAAAACTAAAACTTACAAGCCAACAATCCCGGACATTTCGCTTGTAAACCCGGATATGCGTGTAGAAATAAAATAGGCCAGAACAGTCAATAATTAATTTAATTATTTCTTAACTAATTAAGTAATTATTTATTAGCGCTTACAATTAGACCAAAAAACAATTTGACTTGGAAAATAAATAAATACAAAATGTTTTCATTTAATCCTTATTTTACTAAGAGAGGTCACTAGTTACCGAGCGATTCCTATTCGTGCAAGTTTCTTTGCTTTTGGTAATTATAAATTATATTACATTTTATTGTTTTCCAAAATGAAGTGCCAATATTTATTCTAAAAAATCGAAAGTATTTTGGTGAATTTTTAGACATTTTTTTTTTAATCATTCTGAATAAGTGAAAAAAAAAGGACAGATTTTAATACCCCTGTTAGTATAGATGAGGCACCAAATTGTACTTAATAAGCTAAGGGTTAAAATAAAAAGTTTTATTACAGGTTTTATTATAGATTTCGAATTGTTCTTACGTGTGTTTTTAGTGATATTTTTAAAATATGATATCAATAAAATAATTAAATACATAAACATAAAATGCATTAAGAAATTCAATGAAAAATAATTTACATTACATTTTTGCAATTCATAAATCAGTAAAAAAAATTGCGTATTAATATTAATTGGAATCACATGACTGTTTGGAATAATAATATTCCCGCGTAGGGTAGCGCATAATTATCTTGGACGTCTTAAAAAAAGAGGACGGTATTCGGGAAGGAAGGCAAATGGCAACTCAAGTCCCATTTGAAATAATTTTTTATAACGTTTCAATTGAAATATTTTTAAATTTATGTGATATTGTTTTCTATGTTAAAGCATAATTAATTGCATTTTTTATCAATTCCATCTAGACTGCCGATTTTATTACTGTTTCTCGAAATTTATTGTCGACAGAATTTCATGGCAGATGTCCTATCTTTCCTCCTCGTCAGAAATACATTAGAAGAAAAATGACTTGCACGTATCCTTACAGAGTCGGCTATTCATACTGCGAGTCTCTCTTGCGTAATCGTGCTAATTACGACGTCGTAAGTCGTTTGTTACGCAATTAGCGGTAGGTGTAACGAGGAAGTCCGACTTGAACAAATTGGATTTGTTATCGATTCTCTGCAATTATCATATTTATATCATATCAGAAAAGCTCTTGTTTTTATACGTTTGTAAAAAATGCGACGCATACGTCACAAGTATAACTCCTTATGTCTCGTTTTGTCGATGAATCTTTTTTAATTAACATTGAAAAATTATCTAATGCGGTTAGCCTCGCATTGTATGATCATATGCGAAATGCAGATTTGTAATGAGAAACGCGTGACGCGTGTTATACTATACCATTGTTTCTAACACATGAATGCGTCGGTGTCACTATCGCACGTACGTGATTTTTCTATTATCGCGGCGTCAAATCGATAATGTAAACGCACGTATTCTTCCTTCGGATTTCCATTTTAACACTAATTCCGCCAAACACTCTTAAAAATTAAATGAAACACATTCTTTTGTAATTTTTTTTATTTTAACAGTATAACTACAATATATTTTGATCTTTTTGACTATAAAATAATAAAAATATTTGTTACAGATTAACGCTTAGAAACATTTACAATTTTTTCTCATTAAAAATCCCCTTTTAACTTTTATTACAGTCTTACGTATTTGGGCGTTCTCTTATTTAATTTTTCAAGCGTATTTAATAATATTTTTCTTTATGAACTTTTTCTTTATGAAATTTTTCTATTATTCACGGAGATTTTTTGATGAAAAAAAGTAAGTTTGGTGAAAAGTAAATTTTCTAAGTAACATACCGTGAAAGATGTTTTTATTATTTTATAGTTAAAAAATTTTAGCGATAAAATTATCGTTAAAATGAAAAAATTACGCAAAAATGTTTTGTTTTTAAGACTGTCCGGGAATTTATGAACGGTAATGTATAAATTCGTTGAAATTTACCGAATAAACGTTCGATCCTCCAAAAGCTCCGACAAAGCTTTGAAATCTAATAAGTGGAATGCAGGAACTAGATCAGCTTAAAGATAAACGTCTATTTCTTTTGGAAAGATGCCAAACGTGTAGGATAGAAGATTTAATAGGAGATAGCCTGCGAAGGATATGACATGCTTTAGATGATTTTGTTTGGTTTAATTATTAATTTATATTTTTTAGTTTTATATATATAGATTTTATAATTTTAATTAAATACTTTAGTTAGAAAATGATTTACTTAAATTCTAAACATATACTCGTTAGAGTTTTTAAAATGTTTTACCACTTTCGAGAACTAATTGTAAGTTTTTTTTAAGTGACACTTTGTTTGTACAGGTACTATTTTAAAAGAATTCACGAGAAATTAAATACTTTCAGCACGTGTAGTAACACATACATGTAGTGATACACTATAGACTTTCTTTAGACTACGAACCGCTTAATGATACCGGATAATCTACGGTTTAACGAGGTGCTTGACTCTATAAACTACACGAGAGAGAAGAGGCACAAAAAAGTGACTTACCTTAAAGGCCGCAAGCTTAATGAGAACAATAGAGAATGGAAGTTGCTGCTTCCTTCGAATAATTGCTACTGCAAAGCTATTTCCTTCCTCCATGCCTTCGGTTGCCTTTTATCGACGACATCACGACACGTGTTTACGTATATACAGGGTGTCTGGAAATAATCGCCAAATATTTCATGAGCAAGTAGAGAGGACTAAACTGAGTCGAAAAGTCCTCTACCATTTTGCAATTTTCGCAATAGTTAACAAGATATTACTAAAAATTGCCAAATATTGATCTTGAATAATTTTTTACTCAAATACTATCAACTTTATAGAAAAGCTGCAAGAGACAAAAATTATTTATTTTCTTCTCATTAAGTTCTAAGAAATTTTTTCAGAACTTTTTATCAACTTTTTAGTACTGCATTTTCTTTTCTTTTTTTTTTTTATCAACATGAGAAAATACGGTATTAAAACATTCTGAAAAAATTCTGAAAAAATATACATATAAGTCAATTATATATTAATATATTAATATGTATACAAGTTATTTTATGTAGGTACTTTTACAGATGCAAATGTAGGTACTTTTTCCTCGAAGAAAAAGCGAGAATCGACGGACCGATGTGTGATACGCGACGTGGGTACAGTAACGTTACAGGCAGGAGAACGAGAAACGTAATTATCGGTACTTGGTCGCTGATGAGATGATTGGTTGTCACATTAGCGCAACGCGTGGGAGGATCAGGGTGCTCCATCATGGATTCGTGGTTCGCTCGTATATTATAGGTACATACGAGGGGCCGAAGCTCCTCGAACGATTTTACGCGGCGAAATCGATGCAGCCCCGCTTCGATTCTCTCGTTCGCTGAACATTCGGAAATTTCGCCTTGAACATTGCGAAATCTCGCCTGAAATCTTTTTATATTTACATCGCCCGTTTGTGTGCTCCCCGGTGGCGGAGTTAGACAGCGGAACGCTGCGGAAAAGTAAAAGTGCCGCTTTCGTTTGACGAGTTTCGCGCAGCGAAAGGGTAACGCACGTTTTCCTGCGATCAAGCGACATTATAATTAGAACAGTCATTCACCTCAAAAAATTTGAGGTGTCGTAAGATTAGATATCCGTTATCAAATGAAATATCTCGAAAGTGAACATGAAGATGATTACTAAAATTAATTCTTAATATACAAAGTATTGGGTTGTTCGAAAAGTAATTTCCCGACAGAGGATTTAATTGTATTTTTTTGAACCCAACTTCACACTTAAGCCGCATAATCATTATATGTTTTGAGAGCTGATATAGCCAGGCTTGTGTGTGAAAAAGTTCAATTGAATCTACGCAGTAGTTTTTGATTGGTGCCCTTTTAAATATGGAGAGCAATAAGCAGCATTTTCATATTTTACTTCTTTACTATAGAAAAGGTAAGAATGCTGTTCAAGAAAGAAATTAACCGATGTGTATGGAGAAGATGTGTTGACAGTACGCCAGTGCCAGAACTGGTTTGCAAAATTTCGATCCGGCAATTTTGATGTCGAAGATGCACCACGTTCTGAAAGGCCAGTTGAAGCTAAAGACACGATAAAGGCATTAGTTGATGCAAACCGGCGAATAACAACACGTGAGATCGGTGAGAGGTTAAATTTATTCATTATACGAAAATTGTCTTTCATTTTCACAAAAAAAAAACGAAATTACTTTCCGAACAACCCAATAATATGAATTACGATGATTCGTTTAGTTACTACTATAAATGTCGTTACGTTAATAA